ATCCTCACCAACAAATATACCTTCTCTTCATATCACTTTAAAGTGTTCAGAATCTCTCCGTTTTGGTTGCTTCATCATTTAACAGCTCAGGTCAGGGACTGCAGATACTTGGGAAGCACACACAACTACAACACACCTGAGCTAGCGTGCTTCATAACCTACTACTGTCTTTGAAATCCTCAGAATTCAAGTCTGAAATGTATTTCTTATGGCACTAGAACAAACGCAGTGACTGGAGGCCATATACCGAAATAAATTATTTTACAGTGATAACAGGGCTTAAATTGACATGTTGGCGCCCAGTGCTTCATTTTAGGCATGCAAGTTTCAAGATACTGTGAATTCTAGCACTAATAAAGGGTTATTGGTATGTAGTAACAGCACTTGCGGAAAAGAATACATGCTTCCCCTGTTGTGATCAGTCATGTATGCCATATGAGCCAATCTGCAACTCACTCCACAATCTCCAAAAAGTTTAAAATTACTTTTTCATCTGAAACAGGTACGGAAAATATTCTTTGTCATTGCCACAAATAGTGATACAGGCTATGTAGTTTATGTTCTGTTAAAGTAAGTTTAAATATTGTTTTAGAAGAAAAGGCAGTAATCTCGTATGTTGTTATTTAGAAGCTGTATAAATTTGAAGGAAAAAAATAACATCCAATTGTCGAGTATAACATTAAAAATTACATAAAATCTTCCTCAGTGTCCTGAATTAAGTAGATTGACCGAGAGCAATCTTAATATGCAACAATGGTGCTGTGTCTCTCACAAGCTGCAGCAGTGTTCAAGGTAATGTCAGAGCACTGATTCTCAAGGTGATGTCCAACCGTAGCCCACTAAGCACCACAAATAGCTTTAAAAAGCAACTCAGAAACTAAAAATACTGCTGAAAACTAAGGGGGAAAAAACAGTGTGAAGAAGTAAATTTTAATATTTGTTATTTAAGTGTTAGCCCATTTTTTATTTAATTGTATATGAAGCTGTGGTAATGCCAAATAAATATTTCTTAGCATTTTTTCTTAAAAGGATTAGATTGTTCTTTAATTTAAGCTCTGCTAGATTACTGTCCTTCAGAGAGATTTATGTTTATACTCTTTTGTTGGGTTCAAACCTATGCATGCCAGAAGGAAAGGGCTATGCATATTAATTGACAAAACCAAATGGCAGTAAGATTGATTTGTAACTCAGTTAAGTGATGACCATGTTTCATGCAATGGTGATATATCATTAGTATGTCCTTCATATTGCATTCCT